CATTGGCCTTTTTGTCTGGAAGCTTCTCTGCCTCCTCCTGAGCCTGGCTCACTGCTTCAAGCCTGAGAACTAAAACCTAAAACGGCCTTCGCAGGAAGTCTTGCTTCATCTTATCTCTTTGTGAAGTTTTTAGGTCAAGTTATCTCTATTCTTACTCCCATCCCCAGACTTGAGTTGTCTTGGCAGACATCACATCATTTGCCTTTAACTGCTGTGTTTTTGCCTCTACACGAAGGGCAGAGTCCATCTTATCCCTAGATGGGAGCTGCCCTAGGGGTGCAGGGCTAAGGACCTAGCAAGAGAGGGGCTCAGGGTAGGGGTGGCATTTGCACAGAGCCCTTTAAGTATTCTCCAAAGCGCAGGAGAGGGGCTGGGTGCAGATGAGGGAGCAGGGGTGACTGGTCAGCTGAGCATGGGTGGAGAGAGTGCATCCTGACCTGGAGCAGAGATGACCTCAGTTTGAATCTTGGGGTGGAAGCTAGCCTTGCAGGATCTAGACCGGGAAAGAGAAGCCTAAATCATGTTGGCTGGTATGGGAGTGATAGGGCAAGTTCCGTGAGGAGCAGGAGCAAGGGGTAAGTAAGAGGTTCCTGTGGGAAGGTTCCTGTCCCTTCTAGTGGCTTCCTAGCATGCAAGGTCATCTGTTGCTTGTGCTATTTATTTATTTTTTTTAAGATTTACTTACTTTTCTTGGAAAGTTTGATTTACACAGAGGAGAGTCAGAAAGAAAGATCTTTCAACTGTTAGATCATTCTCCAACTGCTGGCAGTAGCTGTAGCTGAGCAATCAGAAGCCAGGAGCCCAGAGCCTCTTCCAGGGCTCCCATGTGGGTGCAGGGTCCCAAGGTTTTGGGCCATCCCATACTGCTTTCCCAGGCTACAAGCAGGGAACTAGATGGGAAGTTGTGCAGCTGGGACATGAACTGGCATCCATATGGGATCCTGGCGCTTGCACGATGAGGATTTAGACACTGGGCCCCATGTCGTATGTTCTGTAAGCCCTGGACCTGCCTCCACAGGAAGGCCCAGGGTTCTGCAACTCTGCTGTGAGCTTGGCCTTCACTTTCTCCTGGGCGGAGCAGCCTTGGAGAAGCCTGTTTGCCTCTCACCTCCAGTGCCCTCCCCTACCTTGACTGCAGCTGGACCAAGTGCTCCCTGGACCAAACCCACCCAGGGATTCCGTGGTACCTCTAGGACAAGCTGCTCAGCTGGACAGCTCCAAAGACTTGGTCTGACTCATCTCCAGAATCCGGCCTTCAGCCCTAGGCTGCTCAGCTGCTCTATCCTCGCAGGGTTTGAGGTTTTATCTGAGCATCGGGTACCCCCTGGTTCCAGAAGAGAAGACCCCCAATATTCAAAACCACCAGAAACACAGCTGCTCCAGCCCTGGGGGCTTCCCAGATCTTGGTTCAACTCCTAGGTATGCTCCACTTCCTGAACAAGGGCCCTGGGCCTACTCCCAGCAACCTTAGGTTCTCTGCCTTCTAGGTATCCCATGGTGATGTTGGTGTGTGAGTGAAATGGCCCCTCCCCTGGCCCTCTGCAAGCTTTTCGTGATTTAGCTCTGCCAAGCGGAGACAGAATTCATAGATTTTTGGTGAACATTTACTGAATGACTCAAGACATGAACTGGGATTCAGGGAGGAAGAGAGACCCTAAAGATGCATAGTGATAGGGGTTGAGGGGAACGGCAGCTGCCAGTGGAGGAGTGAATGGGGAGTTCCCCCCACTGTTCTCGTAGTTCCAGCTCTATAGGGGGACTCAGGGGTCAGGGAAAAAATAAATGTGGCTTCCTAGAGGACAGGACTGAGTAAGAGACCCAGAAATCAGGAGATAGCTGAAGGGAGCACTGGGTGAGTGGGATAGTGGGGAGGCAACAAAGACATGGCAGGTGCAGGGATTTTAGATGGAAGAGGCACCCACAAGGGCCAACAAGCCCAGGGACTCAGGGAGAGGGTGAGTCCCAGCTGCACGAGGAGAAGAGTGACCTGGCTAGGAACCTTCACACCACCCTGCTAAAGAGACATGGCTCAACAAGTTAATCCTCTACCTTCAAGCGCTGGCATCTCATATGGGCACCAGTTCATGTCCTGACTGCTCCACTTCCCATCCAGCTCCCTACTTGTGGCATGGGAAAACAGCAGAGGACAGTCCAAGTCCTTGAGACCCTGCACCCAAATGGGAGACCAAGAAGAGGCTCCTGGTTTCAGATCAGCTCAGTTCTGGCTCTTGAAGGAAGTAAACCATTTGATGGAGGATTTTTGTCTCTGTCTTTCCTTCTCTATAAATCAGCCTTTCTAATAAAAACAAAATTAATCTTTATAAAAAGACAGACAGTCTTGACTCCGCTTCTCTCCTGTCACAAAGGAAGGTCAGCTGTGAGACCCTGAGATCAGATATTTCTGATCCCAGATCAGAATTCTCTCAGGGAGCTTGGGGTGCTATCGCTGCGGTGTACCTGTGGGGTGCCAGTCACTGGGCCCGAGGCTCCAGGACCCGGCTACCCCCATCTGCCTCCAAGCTGTGCCTTCCACTCTGACAAGAGGCTGGAGCAGAATGTACAAGTAAACTGGTCTTCCGCTTTCCAGGAAACACTAGGACAAAAGGGTCCCCAAGCTGCTCCTGTTCATGCATCTTACCAAGGCAGTCATAAACTCATCATCACAGCCTAAGCACTTGGCCTGATGGGGAAGAGATCTGCTTTCCAATCTGGAGTGTCTGGGTTCAGGCCCCAGGTCCTACTCTCAACTGATGCCAGCGTTCCTGCTAATGCAGACTCTGGGAGGCAACAAGTATGGCTCAGGTCTAGTGGTTCCTGCCACCCATGTGGGATCCTGGCTTGAGTGCCCACTTCCTGCTTGTCATTGCAGGCATTTGAGGGAATGAACCAGCAGTCAGGAGCAATCTCTCTTGCCATCTCTCCCAAATCATGGACTAACATACATAATTATCTGTAATCCTTACTATAACACTACGCAGGAGCACAGCTTAGCATGGTGATCGTCGTAAAACAAGCCGTGCTCACCATACATCCTCTGACACTTCCCTGAGCTGCTGCACACACAACTGCGGCTCTCCCTGCATGCCTGAGTCTTTCTTGCACTGCCCTTACCCTTGACTGTCCCTGCTCAGGGATGTCTGTAGCAACCTACATCGCCTTGTAGTAAGAAAAGGTTTCTTTGCTGCCTGGGATGCTTTATGTGGCTGTACCAAAAGAAGCCATTAGCACTTTTTGGCTGTTCTATTTCTCACCCGATTTCCTGCCAATATATTTGGGAAAGCATCTGAAGATGGCTCTTGGTTTGGGCATGCCCCAGCTCCTGCTGCTGTGGCCATTTGGAGAATGAGCCAGAGAATGGAAGATTCTCTCTCTCTCTCCTTTCTCCTCATCCTTCTTCTCTGTTACTCTGCCTTTCAAATAAGCAAAACAAATATTTAAGATGGGAGCAGACACACACACACGCCATGATGGAGTGGTTGGGTATGAGTCCTAGCTTCACCTGGGTGGCAACAGATGATGGGCAGGTGACAGCTGGCATGGGGTGTTTGGAGTGTTGGATTCCCTGCTGCGCTTGGGAACAGATTGAACTCCTAGCTTCTGACTTCAGCCTGGCCCAGTCCCAGCCACTGTGGGCCTAGGGAAGAGAACCAGCCTGTTGTCTGTATGTCCCTCAAATAAATGTCTTTAAAGGGGGCATTAGAAAGCCCCTTCCATCAGCCTTTTCTAGGAGCAGGCCCTGCCTGAAGTCCAGGACACTGCACAGGCACTGCATCTAGCCCATGAAGACCCCAGTGCTGTACACACGAGCGGAGCAGGGGGCCAGACCAAAGCCTCCCATGCATGGACCGAGCGGTCTCTAAGTGGTTGTGAAGTTGAGGATTTTCAGCTTCATTCATTCTCTGGGTTCCTCTCCCTGGATCAAGTCCTGGCCTTGGTTGCATCCATGGAGACCCAAGAAAATTCCACACTGCCTGTGAGGCCGGCTTCAACCTGAAGCACACTGGGCTAGATCTGTGGAAAACTTCCAGCTCTCAGGGAACATCCAGACAAAGAGAGAGAGAAACAGGGCCTTGAGGGTCTGGAGGCCCCCACCCTATTCCCTAACCGCTCCTTCCTGGAGGCCACTCCCGCCAGGAACAGCCCTGTCTCAGGCAATGACCAACAGGGAATGGAGATGCCTGGCCAGATGGGCAGGGCAAGTCCATGGGTGCAGGTAGAGCAGGTCCAAGTTGAACTGCCCCAGGTTCTGCTTTGGAAACAGCAGGCCTGCATCAGCCACACTGAGCATCCACAGGTCACTGCCTCCCTGTCTCAGCACTCACGCCATGCATGGCAACGCTCACACAAGTCAAGCTGCTCTGCTCCATAGAGTCGGAAGCCAGACCCCTCCTGGTCATTCCCACACCTGCACCCAACCCTGGTTTCCAAGCCACAGGAGTTCACAGTCTCCCCAGCCCACTGCTCCATCCTCCGGGCACAAGATGCCTAATTGCCCATAGCCAGAATGTGCTCTTTCTGGCCCAAGGGCTGAGGGCTGGCTGCGCCTCAGCTTCTACTCAAAGAAAGGGGCCTTGAACTCCTGGGATGGCCTGCAGAGAACCAACTTGCCCGTGGTGGGGAGTGGGAGGGGTTCCTCCCACCCAGGAGGCATCTCCATGGAAACCACACAAAGCTGGTGTTATGTCAAAGGGCATAAATCCCCAAAAGAGTAATCCACGCACTGGATCCTCCCAAGACAGAGGTTAATCTAGGAAGCCGTGGACCAGGGGGAAAACAGACAAAGTGAGTAATGGACAGAGTGGGTAATCGCAACTAATTAATCCACCCACCAGATAATCCACAACCAGAAAAATCCGCTGCATCGCCTACAAAGCTCTGAGAGACAAAGTAGAAGTCGGAATCCCTTGTCGCATCAATGAAACCAGCCAGGTCCCTGCAGTCCCAGCCGGCCCCCTCCCAAGGCCAAGAGCAGCTATGGCCCAGCCCCGCTCGTTACTTACTCCGCCTCTGCCTTTTTCCCCTGATCCCTCGGCTGCCAGCAGCAAGGTGCATCCAGCTCAGAGTCAGGGCCACCACACACAACCCAAGCCGCATAGTCACTTGCCAGCTCCAGACCCCTGGGAGGAGGACTGGGGGGTACTGGGTTGAGGGAGGGGGGCTGAATGACACAGGGCGCAGGGCTCTTGCTAACGCCTCCCAGGCTGGGTCAGCAGCAGGAGGCCCAGGCCTGGGCCACAGCCCAAATCCACCATAATCTCAGCTGGAGACAGAGAGGGTGTGGGGGAGCCCAGTTCTCCATGAGCCCAAGGGAGGTTCTCAAAAGCAGCACTCCTCTGGGTGTCACACAGGGGATGGCATTTTTGTCACTTCTGCAGCAGACACTCCAGAAACCAGCCTGTAGGGAGAAGGAAAGAAGAGTTAGTCCTATGATATTAGGAGGGTCCCAGCCTAGCCCTCCTGCCTTCCCGTGAGGCTTCTCTGCCCAGGCTATTCCCAGGTACCCACCTGGCACCCCCCAAAGAAGCCAGCTAGCTCCTTTTCCTTTCCTACAGAACTCCCTACTCCCTAAAGTAGGATGAGGGCTGGCTGTCCCTGTAGCTGGAATGTGGCCATCTCCAACACCAAATCTGTGGATCCCCAGTGATTCTCAATCACGGGGGCCGGCCAGCCTTGCCCCTGCCAAATAGCGGCTAGCTCCAACTGAAAGTCCTTCCTTAAGTCTATCCTACAGCCCACATGCTGCAGTGTCTCAAAGAGGAGCGGTCTCTGTCCATCCTGAGTGACCCCCTTCTCTTCCCAGTGCTGAGTCACCCATGGGCCTTTCACCTGGGCTGGAGCTAGCGCAGTGGCCCCCGCAAGCTGGCACACCACACAGCCCTCTGTGCTTGGCGGGAGAAAAGGAAGTAAGGCTCTCCCCCCACCACCCCCCCAGCCACAGAAACTCTGACACAGCAGGCCCGGCGGGCCCCGGTCTTTGTGAGAGGATAAAAGAGGCAGCGATGCCGGCCCTGGCCAGAGACAGAGAGAATGAAGATAATCCCCAGCACAGCGAGAGCCAGGTCTCTGGACCCGCGGCTGGCCAGGGGTGATGGGGGCAGGGGAGCCGGCCCCTCCCCTGAGGAGCTGTGTCTGGGAAGTCAGATCTCAGAGCCCAAGCTGGGAGTGAGGACGGGAAACCCTGCTTCCCACTCGAGGCTCCCACGCTCCGGCTCGGACACTCTCCCAATGCTGGCATCACGAGGGCTGCCCGTGTTGTGTACCCCTCATGCTTTCCTGAATGCCCAACCACACCCATACAAGGGGCGTGGAGTGTCCAGGGCTTGGTGGATAGCTGGGCATAGGCAGGGAGCATTATCCTCTCTGTTCTCATGCCTCTGGACAAGTCACTCACTCACTCTCTGGCCTTGAGTTTCCTCATCCATATAATGGGGATGGATGTGACTGCTGAGAGATGAAGCCGAGTGAGAAATGAGATGCCAGAGTGAAGGTGCCCATAGCCCTCCCCGAAATCCCAGCCCACCCCCACTCCCATTCTGGCTCCTTCCTGCCCACGCCAACCCCTTGCATCTCAGGGATCCTCCCCCCCCCCATTGAGCCCACCTGCAGAGGAGATAAATCATTATCCCCCAAGGGAGTTCGGTACCTCCCTCCTTGGCCTCTCCCACTGGCTTTGAAGGCCAGACACACTCAAGTGGTTAAGCTGCCTGTGAGAAGTGTTTACACGAGGTTGATGGATCCCACCTGGTGCTGTGGCCGTAGCCAGCAGAGATGCCCCCAGCCACCCCCAAGTACCCCATCAGCTGCCAACCCCTCCTCGCCCCTCTGGGCCTCCTGGAGTGACCTGCCAAAGCCTCCCCAGCCTGCCCAGCCCCCCCCCCCCCCATGGCGTACTGCCATCTTCCACCAATCATGAATGTCGGGCTGGGGTCTTCAGCGCCAAGGATGCCGTCTGGAAGCAGAGACTGGCCAGAGCAGGCCATAGTGAGAAGCATGGGCGCTGGAGGCCCGCCTGGATTTGAATATTGGCTTAGCTCACCGCAGCTGTGCTGCCTTGGGTTAGTTGCCTAGCTGGTCTGAGCCTGTTTTCCTTATCTGCAGGAGGGTGGCTGGTTTGGGATCACTTCAGTGAATGAACACAGAAAATGGCTTACCCTAGTGCAGGGCACAGGATGAGAACTCAGTAACATTTGCTGGTTTTTTCTTTTTTATGGCTCCATGTTGTGGCTCCATTCCTATGGCCCCATAAAACAGTGATAAAGACATGCATCATCTGGATCCCACCCTAACAGTGGGGAGCGCCACTTTGTGGGTGATCGCCTTGGCGCTGAAGGAGTTGCTCTGAGGCGTGGGAATGATCCCTAACAGCAGCCTCTGTCCTACCGGGAGACTGTGTCATCCAAACTTGGTGTCAAACCCTCAGTCTCCGAGGCCAAAGGCAGTGTCGCGCCGGTCCTAGGGACAGACAGGTTCCGTGTACGTCTGCCTTTCACCCGCCTACCCTACCTGGTGCCTGGCACATCAGGGTCTGTGTCTGGTAAGCATGAGCTCGCTTCCTCTCCCTCTTTTCCGTGCATACCCTCTCCGATTCCTTCTCGACCCCATCTAGGGTGTAACATGGTCCACCAAGCCCTTAGCATACTCACCCAGTCCTCCCCAGCGACAAACTTCTGGCCCACTCCCACTTGAATCACTGGCAGTCCACAGTCAGCTGGGAAACCAAGGGGAGGAGCCAAAAATGAATTTCCTAGGAGCAAGCCACCACATCCACCTCCATCCATCACCTTGGGCTGGGGAGGAGTTTCCAGCTCTTTTGGAGGGGGAAAAAATTACATATAGACTCAACCCCACAAGAGGACTGCATTCATTTCTTCAATGGGTGTAAGCCCTGGGTCCAGCAAAGGCAAATGTGCCACTTCCAGGACACATGAACAACGCAGCTCCAGCTGACGGAGGGTGGGCAGCCAGGATGGCTCCCTGCTGCTAGGGCTTCCAGTTTCATAGAGAAGAAGCTGGACATTCAGAATCTTAGGCAAAACCTGAGTTAGCATGCCAGACAGGTCTTCGGCTAGAAACCTTGCAGTACTAAGTCCCGGAGAGCCACCGGTTCCTATCTCACCTCCCTCCAGCTCAGCCCTCATCCCCACCATCACCCCAGCCCTGTGCACACATGGGGATATGACCACACAGCCCAGGGCCAAGAGACGGGGCAGATGGCTTCCTCAGAAGCAGCCTACCCTGTTTCTATTGCCCGTTCTCAGCCTGATGTCCTTGGGACACACACTTAGCCTCAGGGACAGATTGGGAGCCACTGGCAGTGGCCAAGGACCCAAGTCTTAGAGGGGTGGGGCATGGAAACGGGCATCTCTCTCTGCCAGGGTAGGGGTGAGGGACTCCTGCTTGGTGCCTGTCCCCCACCTGCCATGAGCTTGGGAAGCCAATCATTCTCATTTCACAGAGGAAGACATAGGGGAGCTACAGACTTTCCAAGCACTAATTCTCCCATGATGGGTGTCAGGAGAGTGGGGCGTGGCACCCAGAGCTCTGCCATCCAGGGCACCAGCAGGCTTGGGGAATGGAGCATTGGAGGTGTGGAAAGGGACTGGGGCAGAGGCAGAGCTGGGTGGTCCCAGGAGGGGAGGGCACTTTTTGGAAAGAGGGAAGCAGCTTTTTGGTTAAACATGTGTATGTGGAGTGGGGGAGGTGGGATTTGCCGGGAGCGGGGGTGGGGTGGGCTTAGTCCCAGCAGAAGGCTGGAATAACTTTCACCTTTTTGCCTTGCAACAGTATCAGGATAAATTGGTACTCCATCAGGGGCCGGATACAGACCCAAAAATGTAAACCATCCGGATAATTTCTCATTAGCCCTCCCCGGGACCGGCTACGGGGCTGCAGGGTTTTGGCGGCCGAGCAGACTGACGGGCGGGGCGGGGGGGGGGGGCGGGACCCAGTACGTGCCTACACGACCTGTCGGGATTAGCCTGTCGGCCAGAGCCAAGCCAGGTGCTTGGGCCTTCCCTCCCGCCCCCAAAAGCAAAGGCGGCCGAGAACGGCTTCTTCACGATCCCCACCGCCACCGCGAGCGCGCACCACCCCTGAGCCCTCCCCCACGTTCCTGGTGAAGCTCCAACAGGTGCGAGGCAGAGATAGACCCACGGTGCTCCGGGCTGAGCTCCTGAGCTCCCTGAGGCCGAGAGGCGGGTTCCACAGCTCTACGGCAGACGCTCGCACCCGGGGTGCGTCTCTGCAGCTCCCGGAGCCCAGTGCGTCTCCCCCGCCCTTCAAGGCCCGGGAGCCATCTCGCTGTGGTCCCCGGAGCCGCCAGGCATGCTGCCTGCCCCGTCGGACCCGGCCCGGGCTGCGGCCATGGGGTCGGGGGTGGCCAGGGGCCGTGGGAATCTGAGCCCGGCAGCTTCTGATGGAGCTGCGACTTGGGTTGGTAGACCCGGGGAGTTGGCGACTACTGGGTGACGGGTGGACCCCAAGGCGGCAGCAGGGAAGGGCCCGTCCCCTGGCTCGAGGGGGTGATGGGGAACTGCAGGATTTGCAAGGGGAGGGAGTTGTCCAAGAGCCGCCCTACTCACAATGGCAGGACTCCCCTTCCTCTCCCTGTCTCCTTCCACCTCCCACCCCCACCCCCCAACTTCCTCGCAACCCAGCTCGGCCTGGCCCCGACGGGAGGGCCCGCGACAGCCCAGGTCTGGGAGAGAGAGACGCCGGCGAGGAGGAGGTCGCGGCAGCGAAGGGGCGGGGGGGACTCACCTCCACGCTGCCCGCCGCGGCGGGGGCAGGCCCGGGAGGGGCGAGGGCGCGGCCGGCTCAGTCTCCCGCCAGCCGCAGGACGCTCCTGGGCGCCCGGCTCGCCTGCGCTCCGCCTGCCCGATCCCAAGTTGCTCAATCTGCGGGTGGCTCACGCCCTCCGGGGCCGGCGCCCCACCCGGCTCATCGGTCCTCTGGGGTGGCTCGGGCGGCCCTGGCTCCCCCACCAGCCCACGAGGGCACAGCCGCAGCCCCGGCGGCCGCCGCCCGGGCTCTCCGCCCTGCGCTCGTGCTCTGCTTCGCGCCTCCGCTCGGCCGGAGCTCCCAGTCCGGAGAGGGGCCGTTCCTCGGCTCGCACGAGGGAGGGAATCCCCCC